TACCAGGTCCTCATTGGAACTTTCTGCAAAGCACATTTTGTTCCCCACTGTGCAATTGTAGGAAATGGGTCTCAGAGAGTTTACACAAAATACATTTATTTTGGACCGGAAAATTAAAGCCACATCAGTTTACAAAGTTCTTAGTTTTATCATGTACTAAAATGCAGGCTTTCTTATTATTTTGGTATGGTGAAGCTAGCAGGCAACTACAATTAAAAAGACAGTTTGTTATTCTCAGTTCAGCAGGTAAGCAGGACATCGTGCCATGTGGGGCTACATCAGAAAGCATAGGGTCCCTCAGGAGGCAGAGGAATAAGGGCAAGATGCGGGCCAGAGCCTCACTCTGGTTTTCACAGGAAAAATAGGTAGGTGAACAAGCAGGCTTTGTGTTGGTTAACTTAAGTAAGTGCAGTAGGCTCTGGAGGTAAACAGCTGTCCACTGTGTCTGGCATCTGCGAGGGTGATTACAGCAGGAAAAGAGTGCTCTGAAAGCCAGCTGAGGACAGAGGTGGTGCACAGTGAGCTCTAGATTGGTCTGTACGTGAAGTTGGGTCTCTTCCTAGGTGTGTGTCCACCCTATCCAGAAGCTTGCCAGCCTTGGAAGAGGCATTCTCTTCTAGGTCAGTAAGGCCATAGAGGTCTAAGTATCAGGGATGCAGAAAATGAAAAGGCAGGATTAATATAGCTACAGGACCTACTCTTAGACCCAAAGTTCAGAGGCACCCAACTTTGAAGTTCAAAATCACCTGATTCTGTACTAGTCAGTCTCTAAGCTTGCATTTTCTTTTTTTGGGGTGGGGGACAGGGGTTCCAGAAATCGAACTCAGAACCTTGCGCTTGCCAGATAGGTGCTTGTGCTGCTGAGCTATATCCCAGCCCTAAGCATTTTCATCAAGATGCTAGCCATTGTTGTAGGCATTGGGGAATGGAACTATTGAGGGTCTTGCTATAAAAGAGCCTAGTATGTCGGGTAAGGGGCAGATCTCTAAACCGTGACCATGAAAGAATTTGATGCACATTACAGTAGGGTAAGGACCGGAAATAGCTGTATCTTGGACTCCTTCCCCATTAGGCTCTGACCCTTGCCTGCCTTTGCTGCTCACTGTGTCTGCTCTTCTCCCAGCCCTATATACCTTGCCAGGTTAATTTTCCTTCACTTTTCATCATTTTACTCCCAAGTTTAAAATCATTTCCTGTGGCCTCCAAAAGTATAAACGCCGACTTTCAAGACCCACTGTCTGTCTCCACCTGTGGAAGACCACCTGGACAGCTCCCCCTGAAAGAAGACAATTTGCCTCCATTGTGATTCATCTTTGCCCTACTTCCAAGTGTATGATATGTACAGAGCTGGCTAGGAAAAAGCTCTGTTCCCTCAATTGGCTTTAAGCAATGCAAATGGGTCTGGCTGAGGTGCTGATGCATACCCTTTGAAGCAGTGGGACAGGTCAGTGATCCAGCACCTATAGCTCCCTACTACTGAGCATGACCTAGGCTGAGACGCCACACTGTAGGCTGGGATTGAGCATCAAGAAAGAGGTGGTGAGGTCCCAGGGCATTAAAAGCTAGGCATCAGAGCTGAAGCAACTGACCTAAAACACAAGATACTTCCACAACTGTATTATGCACATTCTTCCAAACTTGGATGCTACCTGTTACCAGAATTCAGTACTCTTTCTGCATACCTATCTCTGCATATTGCAGAGGTGCCATTGTGCCTCCTACCTAGCCCAGCTCACAGCACTCTCATACTTCCTGCCATTCTCAGTCACTCAAGCCCGAGCCACTCCCCTCCTCACAAATTAATAAAGCCCAGGTTCAGCCCTGGGTCATGGGCTTTGTTCTGGTTGGCCTTTGTTCCACCCAGACTTTGGTCCCCCTTAGCTTCTTACAATTGCACATATGTCCTTGTCTCTTTATTCTCACCATAGGTTGCATTAGAAGTGGTAGATTGGAATTTACTTGCTAGAATTCCAATAACTTTTCCCTGTGAGTACAAATATAAACTCCTTGGACAACAATAAGGTCCAGACTGGCTTCCTATACCCACCCTCCTAATTCACCCATATTTCTGCCACTTTGCCTATCCTCTGATTTAACATACACTTACCTGTAAGCAATGTGTGCCCAGTACAAATAAGAAACCAATGGAATGCCTGGCAAGTAGTGCAGAGAACTACAGGCACTACTTGAGTATGCGGCATTCCTGCGCTGCAGTCGGTCATCCCACATCACTTTACACATGTGTACTGGGTACCCGTGAGATGCCAGTCCCCTTACTCTTCACAGCTATGTTCATGTCTTTAAAGTAATTGCTGAAATAATGATCCCTTACTTGTGCTGCTATATTTTATATGTATTTCTTACTTTTCACTATGTTTCCAGAGCCTATGCACAGTACCAGCACATTAGATTGTCAGTAAATACTAAATAACTGCATTCACAAGTTTACCACTCATATCCTCCTTGAAGCTCACTTAAATCTCCTTTCTCTCACCTGCTAAAGTACCGCCCATAAAAGGTAGCCAAAAGTAATATCTTTTGACTATCCATTACTTATCCCACTGGTACATCGTGGTGCTGTTAGATAGCAGACTCTTTGAGGCTCCAGAATATTCCTTTGCACATAACCCATAATCAAACCTACAGAAAATACATATTCAAACTTGCTTAATTTTTTTAATTTAAATGACCAATGTTTTTGGTATTATTTTGAAACATTTCCATGAAGCTCTATGAATGGAATTAAAACAATATATTATACTGGGGAGTTTAGTAACTGATGTGGCATATAGCTAAGAGCAAGGACTTTAGATAAAGAAAAATTTAAGTTTAACATCTTTCACTGCTCCACTGTGACCATGAACAAGTTATGCAACCTGCTTTAATCCCAGTTTTCTCATCTCCATAGTGAAGAATAGTACCTTCTTCATAGGAGTTCTATAAATAATAAATGAAAGAATGTGTATATAGTATTAACTCAGTACTAATGTAGCACAGAGCTATTCAGTCATATTATTTACACTACTGGTGCATCATAGTAGATGTGCTTTACTTCCTACCCTTCCTGCTTTAAAAGTGGGTTGGAGGGTAAGGGGGCTATAGGGTTCAAAACAATTTAATGACTTTCTCAAAGTCACCCGGCTAGTGAGAATCAGAGCCAGAGCCCAAGTCTGGCCCTGTAGCTGCAGAACAAATCTTTTTGCTCTTTATCTCCATGAGGCCCAAATAACCCATCTGCTCATAGTTTGAATGAAAATAAACCCCTCGGAATGGTTGTTTTAAAGCCCAGAGCCTCAAGTAAACATTCAGAATACACAGATTAGGTTTGGGGACTCCAACACAGCCTTGGCCCTGTGTCAGCCCACAGAATAAGGCACGGGAAGCAGCGATGTTCCGAGTGCACGGTACGTACTGTTTTGTTTAGAGCCACCACAGAGATTGGGAATTCAACCCCAGACACAGGGCTCCCGACGGGAAGATGGCCTCTGCACAGTGCAGACATTTCTGTCCTTGGAGAGCTGTCCTAGTTTCTCCTGTAACAATTTCTCAGTCTAGGGAGGTTCTTTTGACAGATCTGGAGGAGCACAGTGTTGTTTAACTGTGACTCCCTCATCATACCCTCCTTCATTCAGTCAGAGCTGCCCCCTCTGTGAGCACAGTACATAAATCATTCAAGGTGTGACATAACCCTGGGGTGACTGCCCGGATTAGAAGGGGAAATGATGTGTCCAAAGACACTACTTCTGACTGGTGAAACCACTGTGGAAATCAGTTTGGAGATTCCTCAGAAAACTAGGCCTAGAGGTCCCATTCAACCCAACTATTCCCCTGCTGGGTATTTTCCCAGAAGATCTAAAAGCTTCATATCACAGTGATATATGTGCACCTATGTTCATAGCAGCACAATGTGTAATTGCTAAATTGTGGAAGCAACCCAAATGTCCACCCACCGAGGATTGGATAAGAAAATTGTGGTACTTTTATATAATGGAATATTACTCAGCTATAAAGAAAGATAAACTCGAGGCCCTTAGAGGTAAATGGTCACAACTAGAGACCATACTCATAAGTGAAATGTGCAAGTACCACACTGTTTCACTATATTCATTTTTTACCATACTCATATTTTATACTCATATTTTTACCATACTCATTTTTACCATACTCATATTTTATACTCATATTTTCACCATACTCATAACCTGCATGTGCAAGTACCACATTGTTTCCCTAGTGTAAAACCTGAAAGAGTTTATTTAAACTTGGAGGTATGATAGACATTGTGAAATGATTGGAAAACACTCAAGAGTAAAGGGCAGCTGGGGTGTGGGAAGAGAGAAGGGAAAGAAGGAGAAATTTTGTACGTATATATATACAGGATAGTTAACATAGTTGTTCTACTGTCTTCTATTTCTTTGCTGAAAGAAATTGTCAGTGAGTCCCTGATTGATCAATATTGCATGTCTCTATCTGTTTTCATGAGAAAGCACTTTGAAGATATCAGTATGTAATACAACAAGCATTGTTAATTTCCTACCATTTTGTTTGTAACTCTGTATTGTCTGTACTGTTCTTTTGATGTTTTGTAAAAGGTTGTCTGTCTGTTAATGTTTTCCTCCTTTTATTTAAACAAAAAAAAGACACTGCTTCTAACAGACAGACCCCATACCATGTAACATGAACTATCCTTCCTTCCTCTTTCCTCATTGTCAAACTTGATCTTACCTGCTGTTACCAGTTCAGCTTGAGAGTTGCTACTTTTCTCTCTAAACTTGTTTTATCAATCCAGTTCTTTGTTTTATAATTCCAAGAGTCTGGCATTGGGCTAAGCAAACCTAGATTTCTGATAGAAATGAGACCCTCTTACAGAATTAACACTTTGAATATGTTCCTGGATTCTCTGTGGAAAAACAGATAAAGGAAACGTGTGTTACACATCGTTTTTAGTTTAAATGTAGGTTAGAAAAGCTGTAACACTGACCACACTCTCTTGCTTTTAGATAGACCACGTGGTGCAGGGGCACGCTGCCTTCCCTGAACTACAAGCCAAGGCCACCGCCAGGTAAATGCCTTCTCCTTTCTGTGACTCCTTCTGTGATGGTGTGGATGGCACTCACTGTGGGCAGCTGCACGTTTTTCAGGTCCCAGGCACAATGAGAATGCCTATCAGTCCTTGATTGTGCAGTGGCCATCCGGATGGCCCCAAACATACCTGCATTAATTTTCAGAATGACCCAAGAGAACCCAAAGAGCCTAGAGATCCCCCAAGAATATGCCAAGGCTACAGATGAGGGCCTCTCATGCAGTGAAGGTGTATAGATTTGGGGTTCACATCCCAGCTTAACCCCTTCCCAGGTGTGTGATCCTGCAGTCAATTTAACTTCTTTAAGCCTGTCTCTTTATCTGTACCACTGATAGAATCTATTATAAAGTAGTTTCTAAGACATATTATGTAAGGCTTAGCTTAAGTAAGGCTTAGCTTACATGTACTCATCATCATGTAAAAAGGAGATAGAAGAAAATATGTCTTTATGGCTGTACAAAAGAAACAAAACATGAATCAGAAGTTGGTTGAGTTATAGAGGTTGGGTTGGAATGGAAAGGACAGATGGTGGAAATGGGAGCAGAGTAGTAGGAGGGGACAAGACTTCTGAAGTAATTTTTATACTGTACATAAGACTGTTACAACTCTAATGATGCTTCATGTCCCCCTAAAATAAATAGAAGATGATAAACAGGCAGGCAAATAGACAGACTAGGAACTGTGTCTCTGGTGGGTGGGCCAAATGAAACATAAACAGTAAAAAACAAACCTACTATCTTACAAATGAATACCATAATCACACTAAAGAGGGTTGGGGAAAGAAAGGAACCCACCCAAGTAACTTTGGGTTAGTATGCTGAGTAGCTACAGATAGAAACAGTTGTACATAATATTGTACTTCTGATTCATAAATGTGCTTTTCATAAGTGTATAGGTTAGCTGTTCTGAAAACCGTGTGATTGAGAAAATAAGTAAATACAGTGATGGTAGATTTCTCATAAAGTCACAGTGAACTTTATGGTACTAGAGGAAGTCAAGTATCAGTATCAACTTGTAGTTTTAACATACACATAGCTGGGTAAAAATAGATATGTCTATTCACAGGTTAATAGAAGAGACACTCATCTGCTCCCTAGACATCTCTGCTAAGATGCCCTCAGCCCATTTGACAAACTGGTGTTGGTTTCTAAGTACTGTTCTCCCAAAGTAATCAGGCCTCCATAGAAAGCAGTTGGTTTCTGGGCTGGGAAAATACATGAACATTTTGTAGTACCAGAAAGAAAGAAATTACCCAGTTATACAGGGGCCAGCTTTAAGAATCTTTTCAATGGCACAGAGCCAAATTGATAAAAGAAAAAAAATCCTAAAGTATCAACTCTACAATTGAAAAAGATACACTTCAATAACTGAAGAAATACAATAGATTTAAAATTGACAGATGTAAAAAAAATAATGGAAGGATTGGAAATAGCAAATTATTATTAGGCAAATGCCACAATAATAATTGTTGCAGACAAGAAGCATTCATGACTGCAACAATTAATAGGTAAAATTATAATGAAAAGGAGGATATGTACATATTCCCAAAGGATCTTGCTACAAGATACTTACTAAAATGAAAGTAAAAGTAGTGAGTTTACAGTGGAAACCTGGTAGACACCTTACCCAAGTGATCATAGTGTATACCAGTAATAAAATAATCGAGTATTATACCAACTTCTGTGGTGCACTAAGATGGACACAGCATCAGTTTAGTGATATTCTTGCCAAAAATACATAACCTTGGTGCAAACTCAAGAGAACACCAGGCAAACCCAATTAAAGAACAATCTATAAAATCATTAGCCAGTATGCCTGAAAATTATAAAACTTTAATACTGAAGAACTGTCTTAGACCGGAGGAGACTAAGGAGAAATGCTACACCTAAAAGCAGTCCCTGGTTACGATTATATCCTGGACCAGAGAAAAGGTTCCTGTTAAGGGAAACTGTCAAAATTTAAACGCTGATAAATTAGTTAACAATATTGTAATTTATTGCAGGGCGTGATGGTACACAACTGTAATCCTACCACTTGGGAGGCTGAGACATAAGGGTCATTGTCGGGGCTGGGGATTTAGCTCAGTGGCAAAAGCGCCTGCCTGGCATGCGCAAGGTCGTGAGTTTGGTTCCCGGTAACGGAGAAAAACCAAAAAAAAAAAAAAAAAAAATAAGGGTCATTGTTAGTTCAAGGCCAGCCTGGTCCAGATAGTGAGCTCAAGGCCAGCCCGAACCATAGTGAGATTCCCCCCCACCAAAAAAAAGACAGTTTTGTAATTTATTGCAATTTCTTAGATGATGAGCAAAAAATAGATTAAGAAGAATAAGTGAATTTCATGATGAATATTCTTAGTTGTTGGATTTTTCAGAAAAAGTAATGACCAATTCCTTTTGGTTAAAAAAGTAGATGACGGTGCTGGAGATTTAGCTCAGTGGTACAGCACTTGCCTGGTAAGCGCTAGGTTGTGAGTTTGATTTCCAGTCCTGAAAAACAACAAAACAAAACCAAAAAAAAAAAAACAAAAAAACAAAGTAGATGACCAATTATCTGTGTTACCTGTACCCCTTCCTGGTGGTGAGACTGATAGAGGAAAATAGAAACTCCCAACCTAAATGATATCTGGAACGAGTTCATGTTCTCTAAAATTGAAGAATGAATTTTAGGAACAATGGAGGTTAAGAGCAGAATATATTTATTGAGGGAAAGAAAGCTTCTGTCCAAGAGAGGGACAGAAGGGGCCCTGAGTGTGTTGCCCAAGACTGTCTTTTCTAGGGACTTTTATAGAGTATAACCATGAGGTGAGGCTGCCAGAGACCTTCCAATGCCAGTTCCTTGACAAAGTCAGGACTGGCAGTGGGTTCCTACAAAGCAGGGACCGCATAGGATGGGTGTGCGGCCTCTCTCTACTCTCTGTTAATCATAGCTTCCCAAATACTTACTACACTATTGATAAAGGAGATTGGGGACCTAAAGGATCAGAACTGAAAGTAGTTAAAGAATCAGAGCCCCGGATAAAAGGTACCCTTTCAGGGTTGAATGCGGGAGTAAAAGCCACCGCAGAGATTTGTGTCGGTTGCCTACCCCCTGTGTGGCAATGTTCACCCACCAGAACAGGAGGGGAGCGCTGTGCAAACCTCAGTGCATGGGAAAACATTAGGCAAATGCCCTGTGTATGCTGAACTGGCTCTAGATGGAAATATTGGTAATGTGAGTCCTGTTGTCCAGTAGACAAGTGAACAATTCTGTGAAAAATTACACCTAATCAAGAACACCTAGTGATTGATTTTTTTACTTCCTTTTATGTCCTTTAGAAAAGTTGATTTCCTGCTAGGGTTGCGGCCAAAGGGTTGGTCAACCATGTCAGAATCTGTAACTAAAATAGAAATGTCATTGTATCTAAGCCTTTCATATGTAATTGCAAAACTATATAACAAAGCAAAAAATATTTCTCTGTGTCAGAAGAGCCTTGCTCCCCTGGCCCACCAGAAGGACCTCTGGTGTCTACATTGTTTGTCTCTTTGCCCGTGTCTTTCCCTCCTGCGGGAATCTCCTGGACCTGCTTTGGCTGGACCGTGGCATGAGGCCGGTCCAGATTAGGGGGAAAATGAGAAATCACAAGGTGGGCATGAGGTAGGACAAAACTATGGTCATCCTATAACAATTGTTCAAGGAAAATTGATTAAATCCGGATCAAATGGGGAAGCAAGTCATGTAGCAAGAGGGCATGAATACAGAACAGGGGCTTTTCCTGTAAGGGGTTGGGTCAGTGACTCTTAAAGGTGAGTTGCTACCTATTTAGAATATCAGTCCCTGATATCCATCCCTAGGGAGGTATATGGGTGCATTTGTTCAGTCTTTTGTCTTGAGGTCTGGCCCACAGCAAATACATCTCCATTCACAAGTATCTTGTCTTTCATGTTGGCTCCTTTGAGGGCCTGGCCCTGTCTGACTGCCTATAATATTTCTAATTCAGCTGCCTATAAGACGACCCTGGGCACTTCTTAGTGCCTTAGTACCTTAATGTAAAGGAAATATTAGTAAACACCTTATGTGTTTATTGAGAGAATTGAATGAGTTAGAATAGTGGCTGGCATATAGCAGTAATTGTCAGGCTCTAATGGGTGTTCACTAACAGTTGTATCAGTAGAAGTTATTACTGGGTCATTATAATTACCTATACTAGACATTTCCATTCCCCCCAGGAGACACACACATGCACAGAGAAGAATACATTGTGTGCTGCACTAGAATCCAGGCAGGGTGCTATCAGAAGTCTCTAAACACAATGCCATGACCATGAGAGGGTTTGTGCCATGTCCTGCCATGTCCCCTCATTAACTGACACTTAGGTTGTCTTAGTGATAGTATAACCTAAATCAGGATCATCATTGAACCCCTTGAAACTGCACCAAGTGTTTTGATTACATACTTGTACATGGATTTCTGTGAAAAGGGACCATAACTTTCATTCTTGAAGGGGCCCCACATTCATAAATGACTAACCCAAGAAAAGAATGCTAAATTAGGAGTTTAGAGATCTGAATTCAGCTAGCAGCGGGAAAATACATCCTTGTGACATAGTATTGGAAGATCAGCCCAAGATGCCTGTGAAAATTTATTTTTAATTTTGTGAGGTCATATATTTGACAAGTCTGTGTAAACTCAGTAATAACAGTGATGAAGACAGCTCGTTCTGTTCTTACAACTACTGATAGTAAAGGAGGAGGAAGTTTGGTGGTAGTCGTTCCAAGGTTAAGCAGATGTCAGTCATCTGTAATCTTCCTACCTTCTAATGAAAAGTAGGAGGAATAGCAAGAACAGTGTGCAGGGAGTTAGAAATTTTGATTCTTATGCCAGTTTTCCCGTGAACATCTCAATGACTCTATTTCTGTACTCACAAAATCACAATAATTCTGGCCTATTTGTCTCACTTGAAGATGTTATAAGGATGAAATCAGATCAAAGGAGGATGCTGCACA